GCCACAAGAGAGATGCTCTTCGCATGCCGCCAGATCCTCGGAGCCCAGCCTCGTTGGGGCTGGATGCTGGCATGGTTCCCTTCAGTGGGGGGGGGGAGGAGGAAACAAAGGACTCTAGGAAGAGCCCCCGATGGCCTTTTAGTCATGGGAGGAAGTAGCCGATTGACTTTTCTTGTGATTCAACCATTCAAAGGCATCTTTTCCCGTATCCGTCTTGTTCTGCAGTAATTGACATTTCTCTTGTAGTTTAACCAAACTGACAGGCACCTGCTAAAAGGTTCCTCCTATAGGACAGATTGCGCAAGACCCTTTCAATGGCCTATGAGCCTGGCAGAGGCTGTTAAGCGGGGCGGGGGGGGGGGAGAGACTTCAAGGACCAGCAGATGCAGAAAGTCCAAGCTGCACTGGCAGCTGTTTTGCCTGCCGTGGGGAAAGCTCCCCACAGGTTTGGGGCAAGGTTCAGAACCCAAAGTCTTGGGGGGGGGGAAGAGAGACTAAGGTTTGGGAGAAGATTCAGAGCTGGAAAACTGGTCTGCAGGCAGGTTGCATGTCAACCTTATAAACTTTGACTGCATCCATATTTTTGCATCTGGATTTCTATTTATGTTCAGAGGGAACTGATCCTTTTCAGATCAAAAAGAGCTACAGTAAGTGGCAAAAGAAGGCACAAAGCAAGCCAAAGGAAGGAGAGAGAGAGAGAGAGAGAGAGGCATGAAGAATAGGTGGAGATAAAAGGGCGGAGGGCTGACCTGGTCTGTTTCTCCGTCTCTAGCAAGAGGCACACAGCCACCGGAAGGCACACTGCAGATCATCGGTCTGGACTGTCCCCTAAAGGGAGTGAATTGGAGAATTCCAGCTTTTGTGTGCATGACAGCTACAGAATAGAGATGGAAAGGAGACCACCAGGTGATCCATCCTCTATTGTGCTCCAAGAAAGAAACAGTTTGGCAGATAGATAATTAGTTGGAAAAGCAGCTACCAGATGCCCTCTGATTATTGGTGACAGGCTGTCCAAATCTGAAAAATTCAGTTCACCGATTGAGACTGAACTGAATGAAAATTTAAATGGAACTTTAGGTGGGGAAATGGAGCAGTTCTCAATAAAATACTTTTAAAGTCATGAGGAAAACTGGCAGAGCAACTCAAAATTGGAACCATTCATTATGCTTTATCCTCCCCTGGTGGGCAAAACGGGGTACTACAGGGACCCTCTCCTGCCTCTGGTCTACTTGGAGATGAGGAGGGGTCTCTGGGTTGTCCACGATCAAAGACTTGCGGCTGTCAGAGCAGCTGCTTCGTGGCTTTGCTTTGTCCCTGGAGATCAGCTGAATGGCTTTCAGAAAAAAAAATCTTTCCTATTCTGAAACAGTGATCTGGAATCAGACTCCATCATTTGCATAGGCTCTGGTGTGTGTGTGTGTGTGTGTGTGTGTGTGCACATGCGCACATTTTACTGTCCTCTTTTGCCAGGCTGCCTTCCAGCCTCACTGATGGAGCAGGGAGTCACCCTACACACGGGCCCTTCTCTGAAGCTGACTTTCTGGGGAAACTTCAAAGAAGTGCCCAGAAGTGGATGGAGGAGAAGAGCCGGATAATTATTGGATTTTGTGAGGAACCAACATCAGTGCCTCCTCTGCGCATCGGCTGGGCTAAGGACTTCAAAGCTTGAAAGGGGTTCAGACAGAACAGGCGCTTGACTGGTGGCAGAATAAGCTCCTTTCAGCCTGGATGCTTTGGCGTGGTCCTCCGGGGCCCCTTTCCTGTGGCCGCTCCATCCTCCGGACCAAGGTCTGACCCACTGGAGACCCATTTGGCAGCGGAAGAGGTCCAGCCCCCCCTCCAGCCCCTTTCCCCCGCAGGCCAGCAGGCATGAGAGCCAAGCAGGCCGTGCCCGAGGGAGCTCTTGGGCAGGGAGGCCTGACATCTGAGGGCGCAGAGGGCAGCAGCCCAGGCCCTGAAGGGCCACCCTGTCCTGCCCTGTGGACGGGAAGGCTTTGCGGAGGGCGTCTCCATCGGACAGGAGAGACTCAGGCAGACTGGCTGGCTCTGCAGGGAGGGTCTCCGAGAAGCCCCGTTAGCTCAGCCACAACCTACTGAGGACTAGCCAGCAGGAGCTTTTGCAGGCCTGGAAGTTTGGTCAAGGACCTCCCACAATTTCCCCCAGCCTTATGTGCTGGCAGGGAAATGCAGCGCGCACGCACGCACGCACGCACACACACACACCCCAGGCTGAGAGGGAAGCGAGGCCTGAGAAAGGGTCAGCCAAGCCCTGTCCTTGGGCATGGGGGTGTGTGTGTGTGCGGGTCACCCCCCCCCCCTGCTCAATGGAGATCGGAGAACTGTGGAAGCCAAAGGCGACTCTCTAGGATGGGGAAAAGCAGAAGACCATGCAGAACAATGTAATTGAGAAATATAATCTTTATTAGACTTTTTCATAGTTGTCTAAAATGTATTTCTTTTTTTTCTTTTTGGCATTACAGTGCATTCCAACTGCTTTGGAACGGATTGATTCAGCTTTTGAGGGTAGCAAAGAAGCGACCCCTCCTGGGTCTTCCTCATGAGAAACAGCAACTGCAGGTGAGGTGGAAACGGATCAGCCAAGACCCTCCAGGAGAGAGGCAGCCACTCCGGCCGGGCTCAGAACAGACCCAGGACGGGAGTTGGCCTTGCAAAGCCCCAGGAACAGCGGCCAGGGAGGGGCCCCCCTCTCTCTCCGTCAGCCCCCCTGGAGCCTGGACCCAGCCAGAAGGCCTGCAGCTGTGCTCAGGCTGCCTCCCCCACCTCGGGAGCTGAAACCCCCCAGGAAGGGGGGGGGGGAACCCCTTTCCTACCTCGGCCAGCTGAAGGCTGTCAGCTAGTTGGGGCCCAGGCCACGGGGGAGGGGGGGAGACGCAGGGAGCATCCTGCAGGGCGGGCAGCTTTGCGACACCCTGGCAGGGCAAGGAAGCGCTCCAGATTCCTTCCTTAAGTTTGGGGAGGGAATTTCCCCAGGAGGGGATGAAAGCAGGCAGAGAGGTCCCCTACATCAGATGGGGGCTTTTGGTGGGGGGGGGGAGAGACTTGCTTTCAGGGCCACCAGATCTGGGGCTGCCCCCTGCTGGCCAACCAGTGGATGAAGGCAACTGGAAATAGAAATTCCAACACAATGTCCCCATCTAAAGGTTCTCTAGATCTGTGCAGCCTCCAGGGACAGAAATATCAATTGAAACAAAAGCTGGACATGTGCTGAAAAAATCCCTTGACATTATAAAACGAAGCAACATTTTAACAGATTGATCAATCCCTACAGTTACAAATGCTCTTGCTTGTTTTTCTACCTCTGTTAAAGATATTGCAAACCCTGTTTTATTGCCACAATCATACCAATGTTTTTCCTAAATAAATTTCAATCTTGTAAGGAAAACAATCCACAAGGCTTAATATGCTTACTGTAGAACCACCTCACGTAAAGACATTTTACATCTTTTATCAGAATCATTTAAAAATGAGTGATATGTGTTCGGGGAATATGTTTTTCGCACTTGAGAGAAGGTAAAATATCTGTAAATTTGGCATGAAGACTAGCATGACCCAAGCACAGCCACCCAGAGCAACGGAGAAGACACAATGGCCGAAGGGAAGGGATCTCCAGAGGCTTTGCCAGTGAAATCCCCCCCCCCGCCCCCAGTTTTTTTTTCTTCTTTCTTTGGCAAATTCAGCAGCTCCTGGAAAGACCAGGAGAAGCAGCTTCTGTCCCTTGGTCTTGTCTCCCAACCTGAAGCAGAGAAGACTTGGCTGCTGGTTTCCTTGCTCCGGCGGCCAAGAGACCAGGGATGGGCGGCTGCTGGCTCAGCATCTGGGGCCAACCTCCTGCGTCCACCACGGCCCTCGGACAAGCTCAGGATGTGATGCATCAGGCCCAGCCAGGCCCCTCCTGCCTCCCCTCCAGGCAAGCAGAGCCGTGCAGATGGAACAGCCAGATGCTTCTGCTTGCCCTTCGTGTCGGCAGCCGGCCCTCTGAGCAATGGCATTATCACACACACACACACACACACACCAATCACCCAGCAATCACCCGTTGTTAAACGGCTGAAGTCTAGGGAGAGTTTGGCCGTCGTTCATCAGAGCCTCCCCATGCAGAAGAGCAGCCACCTCTCTTGGGTGAGAATGTGGAAGCCCCATGAGGGGACAGCAGGATCTTCCAAAACTTTGGTCACTGGGGGAAGATTTTAGGAACCCTCCATGCACCCCGTATTACGTCCTTGTGCAAAGCCTCGGTGCTGTAAGGAGCGACAGGGAAGCATCTCAACAACATGCAGCCCACAAAGGCGTGACGACCTGGATCTCACCCACACTAACCATGGAGAAGCGATGGAGCTGGGAAGGGGGGGGGAAGGAGCACCATTTCTGGACCCACCTCACCCCTGCCCAGCTGCCCTCCCCCCAAAACAAAAAGTGGGTTTCCAGGGTGCCAGGCGGAATGGATTCCTCCAGATTGACGCAGGAAAAGGGTTTATGTTGAAATTTCTTGCCAAAATGTCTCTTTGTAATATTCTGGTAACAACCGGAACAAGTTTAGAAACAAATTGAAACACTCAATTTGTTTCAGCTTCAGCTGAAATAAGTTGTTGAAAATAAATAAAACAGCACCTCTCATTCAAAGTCACATGGAAATGAGGCAATTTACACATGTAATCTTGATTATTTCTTAAATATATCAAGTCCTTGCCCAGATGAATAGGGAGACGATGATGATGATGATGATGATGGTTTGTTACGTGCAGCTTCTGGGAAGCCAGTTCCCCTATTTACTCCCCCCTCGATGGGCAGCGACGGCTGCACCCTGGAATTGCCACGGACCCTTCAGGCCAACCTCAGCACAGCCCCAGAGGGTCCCAGCCAGGAGCTTCTGATTGTGATCAAAAGCCAATTAAGTCAGAATATAGACCTACTGATCTCTCTACCACACACACACAAATCCACACACGCACGTGTGCGTACCCCAGGCATATGCGGGTGCCTCAGTAAAGCGGTTTGCTCTTTTTGCCCATTTTTGATTTTGCGTTCACCTTTCGGGCAATGTGGTTGGCTCCCTCTGCCTTCTTCTGGGGCCTCCCAAGGTCCCGGCAGCCGTCCGCAGGTTCACACAACCACTTGACGCCACCTCCGAGTCTGTCATCCTTGGCTTTCTTCAGGAAGAGCCGCCCTTTCTGAAGCGAGTGAGGTTTGGGGTCAGGGGGGCTACAAAAACTGTGTGGGTACCCCCAGCTGTAAATGGGAAGGAGAAACAGGGGGAGAGAGAGGGAGGGAGGGAGGGAGAGAGAGAGGGGGGAGAAAAGAGAGGGAGAGAGAGAGAAAGAGACAAAGAGACAGAGAGAGAGAGAGAGAGAGAGAGAGAGAGAGAGAGAGAGAGAGAGAGAGAGAGAGAATATTGAAGTCTGGCAAAGGGAACCCAGAAACAGAAAACGTAGTTTTAGCCGTCTGAGCTCAGATCCTCCCCCCACATGAAGGGGAGGGACGGTCATACATACAGGCATCTGGCTTTCTTGAGAGATGACAGATCTGTAAACTAAAAAAGGAAGAAAGTATTAGACTGACCTGAACCAATAGTAAATGAATCATCATTTATTGATTATTGTGAGCACATCTTCTTGCATATAGATGCAAATTCTGCCTGGGATCAATGAGGTTTATTTCCAGATGACATAAGTGGAATTTTCCTCCAATGGGATTTTCCAATGTATTTTACCAGGAAACATAGATAGGGCAGGCTAGAAAGGTCAGTGCCCTCTTAACCATACCCAAGCACTCCGAATTTGTTGGCAATGTCCATTTTGCTCTCCGAATTCATGGTGATGTAACACCTAACCCTATAGTAAATATTAATCAGCTGAGAATACTTTGATTGAAATTTGCCTAAATGGGCCACCAGAGCAAATAGCACCCGTTCTGGTCTCCACCATCCCCTTCGGGAGGGTTCCCCGGCCTGGCCTGCTTGCAGGATGGTGGTGTGCTTCAGGGGTTTTGTGTGTCCTGGAGCTCCGGCCTCATAAATTATGCTTCTTTGCCCCTCGGGTGAGAGGTTTCCTTCCTTATTTCATGTAGGGCTCTGGGACCTTCACCACCCTCCCACTTTTCATGGGTGATTTCCACACTGCCTGAACAAATTGGAGGTCGGAACTGCCCCCTCCCTGCCAGCCTGCCATGAGCGGGGGTGTGTGTGTGTGTGTGGAGGCTGGAGGGAGGGGGAGGATCTGGGGGGAAACGAAACTGAACTGTGAGAACCCACAAAGTCTTCAAGGTCGTTTCCCTGGCAGAAGAACACCAACAGGCAGAGCTTCCAAAATGTCTCTTTTAGACTTGATTGGACAAGGAGAGACACCAAATGGGAAGAGACTAAGAGAGGGAAGTTAACTGGCAGAAGTCCGGCCCGAACTCTCAGGCTTTACACAACTGAAATTCACTTGACTTCTAGTCAACTATACCTTTCTCAGTAAATGGAGTTAAGGATCATTTTTTTTATCTTAGAAGCCCAGGTTGAGGCAGGCCTGCCATTAGCAAAGCCCGGCCCCTTTGCAGCAGAGAGCAGAACCCACAAGCAACTCCCCCCCCACCCCACACTCTGCTCTTTCTGTAGGGCAATTTGTTTTTCTTGAAAAGGCTTCTGCCGCTTTAAAGGAGGTTTTCCCCTGAAATCTTGAAGGAAACTATGGTAAGGATTATCACTTCCTGCAGGGTTGCAGGCACACACACACACACACACACACACACACACGCTTGCCGCCTCTAACCACACAGAATTTGCATGTATCCAAAATGCCACCAATGGAAAACCTTTTCCCCCAGAAATATAGGTGAGCATTTCCATTTCTTCAAAAGTGGATCCAGCGACATGACGGAGGCCAAACTCCTCTCTGGACACCCACTGGGATGAGTTAGATGCAGCCGCCAGAGGCAGCCCCCCCCTCCCAGAAGCCCCCCCCCAAGAGGCCCCGAGGATCCTAGGGGTTGGCCTCCCTGCCAGGCAGGGGGCGAAGCCCTGGAGGGATCTTGGAAGGGCTGGATTTGGGGACAAGCAGGAATCCTCGCCTGGCGAGCTGCCGCTCACCAGATGTTCGCCGAGGTCTCCGGAGCTGCCCAGCAGATGCTGATGCTGGAACCTCTCCAGCTGCTTCTCCGCCTGGTCGACCCTCTGCAGCAGGTTCTCGATGAAGCGCTCCAGCCGGGCTTTCCCGCGGACCTCCTTCTCGGCCGCTTCCTCCAGGAAGTGATTAAAGGTGACGACCTCCCTGCAGGGGCAACATGGCAGCTGCTGCACGGGGACTGGTGGGCACAGGGCGGTGGTGCCTGCCGAGTGGCAGATGCAGCCATGCCCAGCTTCAGTTCTGGCCCTCCTGGCGCACCCACAACCCACCCCGGATGCCAAGCTCTCCAGGACCGGGATTGATTGGCAGAGGGAGGGAGAGGCTGGGGCATTCACGGTATCTGGCAACAAACAAACAAGCTTTGCTTCACTCCTCACTTGAGAGCCTTCTCCCCGGAGAGAGGAAAGGGGGAAAGCTCCTTGTGCTCAGAATCTGCACCCGGCTCCTGGGCCTCTCTCCCTGGGGGGGGGCTGCACCAGGCCTTCGCGTGGAGCCACGAGGCGAAGGGCGCTTGAGGAGGCCCTGGGGGGGGGGTCCTCCCAGGCTGCCGGGTGGGGCCCCTGCACTGGCAGAGCAGAGGGGGCAAGAGGTGGTGGGCCCAGCACCACCCAGAAAGCCCTCCGGCCAGGCACAAGAAGCCACACTGCAAGGTCCATCCACACAGCGAGGCTCTCGTGGCCGGCTGGAGACCCCCACAGACCCCGGGGCAATTTTTAACTCCAGGTAAACCTGGGCTGAGGAACTATGTGGGAAACGGAAGCCAGCGGCCTGCAGAAGGAAAGCCCGATGCCTCTGCCGCCCTGGAGGGAGGGGCCCTCTGGGCAAAGCCTTCTCTGCTCTGGAATATTCTCCCACTTTAGGGGGCCCCTCCCTGCAAGAGCCTAAAAACTTGGGCAGACTTTTGCCTCCACTGCCTCCTCCTCTTTTGATTGGGGGCCCTTGCAAAGCACCAGCGTGTTTGATTGGCTCCAGACACCGCAGCTCAATGACTGAGCCCCTCCCCAAAGACCCCTCAGTCCAGGGGAGATGTGGCTGACCCCTCCCCATGGCTGAGCCAGACAGAGTCCTTCAAAAGCCCCCCCACCCCAATTTCTCCCTTAGGAGCCTTAAAAAAAGATCAGACACGGCTGCATTTCAGCTGGGAACCTGCTGCAAGCTCCCCTGGCTGCCTCCTTCCCCATAAGCCTTGGTGAGAAAAGAGGGGATCCCCCAGGGGATCTGTTGCGAAGGGCAGGCCCCAAAGGGCAGACTTGGAGGAAAGCAGGTAACTAAGCAAGTGAAAACACGCATCTGTGCAACTGAGCACTTGAGAAAGGTTTCTCCCCCACCACGGCCGGCCGAGGCTTCTGAGAACAGGCGACAGGCCCCACCTGTCCCGTCGGCCGGGACCTTCGGCCCTACAGTCAGTGGGAAGGGCCACAGCCTCCCTCCCCCCACCTGGTCCCCTCCCCCATAACCTCTCTCCAGGTGCAGGGTCAAGGCGTGGGGTGGGAGGCCACTGCCTTCTGACCCCCCCCCGCTTCCCCCTCCTCCTCTTCTGACTTACTCCTCCTTGCGGTGCAGCTGCTCCTCCGACTCGGTGAGCCGCTGCTGCAGCACCGCGATCATCTCCACCGCCACGTCCACCTGCTGGTTCAGGGCCCTCTCGCGCCGCTGCACCTCCTGCTTCTTCTGGGAGAGCTGCACAAAGGCCGCCCGGACCTCCAGGAGCTGGGCCGTCTTTCGGGAGAGCTCCCGGGAGAGGTTCTCCATCTGCCTCTCGATGGTCTGGTCGACGGCTTCCACCATGTGGTTGAACTTTTCCCGCACGTGGGCCTCGAAGGAAGCGCCGGGCTCCACGGCCTTCCAGGCGGGGTCCCAGGCCGGCTCGGCTGAGGCGTGGCCGGAGCCCAGGTCGGCCGGCCATTCCGCCTCCCCGGCCAGAGGCCTCCTGGGCAGCGGGTCTTCCGGCTCGCAGAAGTTCAGGTAGGAGAGCCGTGGCTTCAGGATGCCACGGCTGCCCCCATCCCGGAAGGTGCCCTGGGTCTGGGGGCGGGAGGAGGAGGAGGAGCCCCGGCCCCCCTTGAGGGGAGAGAAGAGGCCTCCCGAGGGCCGTAGGCTTCGGTCTTCGAAAGCGTGGCTGTACTCCAGATGGGCCCTCAGGGAGGACAAGCTCCTGAACCGGGCGTGATCCCCACACCGGGGGCAGCGGAAGGGCCTCCGGGCCCCTGCATCTTCCAGCGACTCCTCCCACGTGGGTTTGCTGTCCTCAAAGGCCTTCTGTTGCATTCCTTTCCCAGTCCTGTAGCCGCCAGGGAGGAGGAACGGGGAGGTTAGCGAGGGTCTTCTCGGCCAGTCACCAGGACACTTTCTGGACTAGAGATCCCATCACCCAGCAGGGCCCAGTTTTGCTGGCTGCAGAGCGGCTAGCACCTCCGGAGAGCCTCTTAGCCACCCTGCAAACTCTGAGGGAGGCTAATTCACACCCCTCGGGGGGGGGGTCCAGGCAAAGAGCAGGGAGGTCGGCCTCTCCATCCCCTGTGATGCGCCTGACCGGTCAGCTTGCCAGAGAACCGGGAGCAAGGACGGAGATGGGGGAGGGGCGGAGGGCGAGACGGGGTCGCTCCGCATTCAGGCCCCGGGGCTGCTCCTGGGGGGCGGGGCGGGGTGCAGAACGAGGGTCCCAGCAGTGGCGCCTCCCTGGGCCGGGGGCGACGGGGGGGGGACACGCAGTCGGGGGCTTCTCCGGGAGGAAGAGGCGTTTCTGAAGGGCGCCGAGGCTTCGCAGGGGCTCAGCAGTTCGCGGGGAGCCCGTCTTCCTGGACGCGGCCGAAGCCCCCCCGGGACCGGAGCAGCCGCGCGCCTCTTTCTCCGGAGGCAGCAGCGGGGACCCCCCGACAGGCGCCCCGAGAACCTCCTCGCTGTTTCGGGGGGGGGAGCTGCCCCCCGAAGCTTCTCTTCGCTCGTCCTGAAGGCGCGGCTGATTTTCAACCCGGGCTGCATCGCGCTTCTTTCAGTCTGGAGCTGGAGCCGCCTCTCCGGGCCGCCGTTTCTCCAAAGGGACGGTAAGCCGGGGCGGGGGCGGCGGGGCGGGGCTGCCGGAAAGATTCCCCGGCCTGGTCCCCTGCCCGGCTCGGCCAGAGCGGCCCCCGCAGCGCCCCCGAGAGGGCTGCCGGTCCGGAGCAAGGGCGGCCTTCCGCAGGGGGCTCTCCCCGAAGGCCCCGCGCTTCCCGGCAGGCACCGGGGGACCGCAAGGGCTCCGCCGCCGCCCTCGAGGCGCCCACCCCCCCCCCCAGGGCCGCAGGGAGGCTCCCGGGCCCTCGGCTGACGTCAGGCTCGGGACCGCCACGAGCCAGCAGGATCCCGGGCCGGGAAGCGGCTCCTCCGCCCCGCGAGCCTCCCCCGCCCGAGGCCGGNCGGCTGCCCCCGCCCCGCTCCCTCCGGGCGCCCCCGCGCTCCCGCTGCGCCTCCTGCGCCGCGCATCCGAGGCGGCTGCGGGGAAAGCCGTTTGCAGCAGAGCCGTAAATCACGGCGGAACGACACACTGCCAAGCCCCCCCCCTCCCTCCCTCCGCCCTGCTGCGGCGGTGGAGCGGGCGGGGCGGGGTTGCCTGGGGTCCGGAGGGGCGGAGAAGGGCTGGCTGGGCCCTTCCCTGAACGGACCCGAAGAAGCGGCAGGCAGGCTCAGCCCGGCTCCTCGGGGGTCGGTCGCTGCAGGCGCCGCCCCTGCTGGAGGGGAAGCTGCCCGGGCAGAACCGGCTCCCCGGCCGCCGGCTGCCCGAGAGAGGCGGCTGCAGCCAGGGCAGCGGCCGCGGGGGAGGAAGCTGAGCACACAAAGGCACGAGCCGGCCGAGGGGGGGGCGGCCGAGGGGGGGGGCTGGGGTCGGGCTGTGAGCAGAACAAGCCGCTACGGGCTCCAGTTGCACCTGGGCGACAGCCAGGGCTCTTCTGCGCTCCTTACTCGCCCAGAGAAGCTCTGCGCAAGGGCCGGGGGTCCTGCCTCGGGCGCCCAGGAAGCGATGGAGCTGCGAGTCGGAAGAGCGGCCCCCTCCCCTCCCCTCCCCTCCCCCGAGTCCTCTCGACTTTCAGCCGCCCCGAAGCGACGCGGGTCTCCCCCGCCACACTGGGACGCTCCAACCACCAGCCGCGCTCGTTGAAGCCCAGCGGCGCAAAGCCCCGGGTCGCCTTCGGGCTTCCTCCTCCTTCCTCCGGGGGGCCCCTTGATCCCGCCGCCCCTTCCCGGGGCCGTTTCCTCTGCGAAAGAAATTAGGAGTTTGCCCGGCCCAGCCTCCCCCCCCGGGGTTCCTCCCGTAGGAAGCGCAAGGGAGCCAGACCCGCGACGGGCACAAGGGGGGCGGAGGGAGGGAGGGAGGGAAGGGAGACCACCGGGCGATCGCAGAGAGCCGAGGCAGAAGCGCAGCCCGGCCTCTGGGCGTGGGCTGGACGGGGCGGAGCGAGCGGCCGAGGCGGGAAAAGCCAGGGGCGGCCATGGCGGAGCAGGGGCGCTGCGGGGCGGCGGTGAGCGGCGGGGCGCGGGAGGCCGGGCGGGGGCTCCTACGGGACAGGAGGCGGCGCTGCCTCTGCCGAGAAGCGGCTGCCGGAAAGCCGCGGGGACGGGACGGAGCCGGGGCCGCGAGGGGCCTTTTCGGGGCTCCTGGAGTGGCGCCGCCTCCCCTCCTCGGGGGACCAGGGGTCGGGGGCCTGAGGCGCCTGCACGACGGAGCCCGGGGGACGCGAGACGCGGGTCTGGCGGTCGTCGGGATCCCCTCCGCTCACGCTGCCTTCGCTTCGGCCCCAGGAGCAGCTGGAGATGGAGACGCGGATGCGGGACGGGCTCCGCAAACTGCTGGCCGCGAGCAGCCGCCGGGATCAGGCCATGCGCGCCGCCAAGGCCCTGGCCCTCTGCGACGCCCGCCTGCGGGCGCTCCGCGCGGATCTCCGGCGGCGGACCGAGGCGGCGGCGGCGGGACGGTGAGAGACCAGGGCTGGTGGCGGGCATCTGCCGGCCCGGCTCGCTTCGTGCCTTGAGGGCGACCGTCTTTGTCCAGCGCTTCCCTTGAAGCAGCTTCCCCCCCCTCCCGCTTCTGATGCCTGGTGGAGCGGAAAATGGGGGGACCCCCCCACTCCCCCCGCCTTGATGCTTCGGGACTCCCAGTCAACTCCAGCCCCCTCCCCTCCCCCCCCAGTCTGGATTGCGCCAGACCTGCTTGGTGGGTCGGTCTGTCTGTCTGCCAGGCCCCGCCTCTCCCTCTCCCTCCTCCAAGCCCCGGCGCCCCCGGGCTTCTCTCCCCGCTTCCCCTCCGGGGCGATGGAAACTTGGTGGCCGGGATAAAGCGAGAGAGCGAAGGAGCGAAGCTCCCGGTTGCAGGACGTTTCCCAAAACGAAGAAAGCGAAAGGGGCTCCGCGGGGGGGGGGGAGCGAGAGCGCCGGGGGGGGAGCAGAATCGGAGGGGCCGAAGATGACCGCATTCGCCGACTCTGAACCGCCGGCATCTGCCAGAGCCTCGTGGCTGGCCACGTGGGGGGGTAACTCCATGGCTTCCCCAGCCGGCCCTACCGAGAGACGCCGGGGTCAGCCAGAGCAAAGTAGCGGGGGGCGAGGTGAGGGGCGGCGGGCGAGGACGTGGCCGGAGGGCTCCGCGCTGTTCCTCGCCGTCTCTCGCTGCCCGTTTTCCCGTCATAAATGATGGGTTGGCGCCACCTGCTGGCCGAAGCTCGCAGTCTGAGGCTCCGGCCGTGCCGTTCCCGCCGTCCTCGGTCTCCTCTTTCCGGGGAGCCTCGGGCTGAACGACGGACGGCGGCTCTCGCGGGAGACCTGAAGTAGCGCCGCCAGCTCTCTGGGTGCTCGGAGGTCTTGCGACGCCTCTTCCGTTACTGGCGACGGAATTACTTCAACCACAGAACGGTCGGAAATCAGCAGGACAGAAACTTATCCGCCCGAATTGTGATCTTTCAATCGCAAATGGTCTTTGGAGGGGCTTTTTCCTTGAATAAAAATTCCACATGCATTTCATCTGTGAGGGTGTATAAGAGACAAATGTGTTTTAATGAATGCAAAAATGTGTGTGGTTTTAAATCCTTAAAAGGTTTAGCTTTAAGTTAGCAGTAGTATCCATGTATCTGATTTCAGACAAGCTTACCTTGGAAGAGCAGGAAAAATAATATTTTTTTTTTCATTCTAATTAGTATTTTTTATTTCTTTTGTTAGATGTTCAGATTTTGCAGCTGAAGATCGTGCAGCCTGCAGAGGGAAGGTTGGCATTTCAGGTATGTTTGTTTTCTGTTGTCTGCAACTGGAGAACACAATAAATTCTACTGATCTGGCTGGTATCTCGCTCTGATGCCTCTTCCCACTTAAGTGCCCTCTCCAGTCTCATCTCCTTGGCTTTGATGGGACTTCAGAACTTGCATCGCTTGGAGGGTAAATTCCTCCATTACCTTCACATTAAAAGTTTTCCATCTATGTAAATTCTGTGATTCTCCCGTAAAAGGTATACATTTTCAGTGCCATAATTCTGGAATGTGAATTTGATTAGAAAGTAAACAAAAATCAAGGTAGAGAGGGAATCACTTTGGTATAATATAAGTAAGCAAAAAACAAAAAAAGAAGAGTTGCTTTCCAAATGCTACTTTTACACCAGACCTGATGGCAGTAAGGTGCAGATTGCCCTCAGCAGGGGTCTCCAAACTTGGCAACTTGTGGAAGACCCCTGGACTTCAACTCCCAGGATTCGCCAGCCAGCACTGTTAATACTGAATTAACCCTGAAGGTTGAGATGGAGTGCACCTGCCTTATTCTAGAAAAGGTAGCAAATAAAATCTATTCTGAACTTTTGGACTGTGTTAGGAGTGTGCTGTGCTTATTCTTTTTCTCTTTGTTTTAGATTTACGAATTCCATTGATGTGGAAAGACTCCGACCATTTCAACAACAAAGACAGTACGTATTTTTATTTTTTTTAGTGGTTATGCAACCTCTTTAGCCAAGCTGAAGCTTTTCATCAGTGCTGATTCAGTACAAACATTCAAGGTCTACACGAGTCAAGTTATAGCTGAGCTTGTGGACTGCAGCTGTCTGAAACCGGCTTTCCCCTTTGAACATGTGCTCTTCAGGAAAGCATGCAGTGGCAGAAGCGATGCCTTCCATGTGTTTGGCCACAGAAGGGCTGAACGGTCAGAAAATGTATCTGGCAACGGAAACCACTGGAGGTTCGTCCACTGTTAGTGCAGTAGCTGGAAGAGATGCCGGCTAGGCCTCCGAGGTTAGCCTCGGTCTGCTTTTGCTGCCTTCCCCGCCCTGCAGATGGATTTAACTTTTACTTTCTATAAGTTCAGAGGTGTCCACACAGCCAAATATTTTAATTCCTCCTTCTGCATTCATGATTCTGCAGAGGCTGTTCGTAGGGTTTCTCTCTGTGTGTTTTAATTAATCCTTTTGTGACAAAATTGATTTCAAGAGTTTGAACTTTGACATGTGTGTCAGAAACCCTTATGAATTTCTCAGCTATTTAAAGTTCATTTGTAAAGTGCGACATTTGCTAAGTTTTATGCAGATTAAGGACATCAAAACAGTTACTTGTTTCATTGTTTCTTCTTTGTAAACTTTATTTTATTACTGTGTTTCAGTAATAAATGAAGCAGTCAGTAAATCCTATAAACAAATAACTACCTACTGAACTGGGTGTGACGCAACAAATTATTCTGAAGTGTTCTGCTTTTTTTTTTTTTCCTTGCAGGAACCGAGCGTTACTCGGTTTTTTGCTTATTCAAAATAGGAGCTGAGGTGTATGATTCAGACTTGCTTATTGTGGATAAGGCGGCAACGGACATATGTTTAGAAAATGCAACAATATTGTGAGTATTCCTGAACCAGTAGGAGGCACCCAAAATCTTGAACAAATCCCACTGTTTTAAAATTTTAGGGAATGCAAGCTTCATGGGAGGCCGTCCCCGCCCGAACCTGAAAACAACAGCAGCTGTGAATGACGTCACTCGGGAACAGAGGTTACCGGCCTCCTGGAGAGGCTGAGGAATCCGCCAAGGAGCCCCTAGCCAGGATCAAAAGCCAAGATTGGGCTGCAGCAATACGCACAGCGGGGGGGGGCTTTTCCAAAGAGAGCGCCCCCCCCGCTCAGTCCCCGGCAGACTTTCCAACAAATTTAGGGTCCGTTGCTTTGCTTGAGTCTGCTGATTGCTGTACATGCTGTTCTGTGCTTTTAATATTGTATGTGTGGATTTTACGGAGCTACTTTAAATTGTGCTGGGAGCATTTCCACTGAAGAGCAGCCAATGTAAAAAAAACAACAACCCAGAAATAGCTTTTTTTTTTTTTTAAATGGTCTGATAATCGTCCTTCTGAAACCTGCCCCCCTTCTCTTCCAGCGAGGGAGCTGGGCCAGACTTCCAGCTGAAGGTGGAGGTGTACAGCTGCTGCTGTGGGGAAGGCCCCTTGACCCTCGCCAGCACCCCCAGGAAGCTGGTCAAGAAGTTGAAGACCTCCCTAGGAAAAAGCACCGGGAAGAAATTCAGCTCTGCCTTGGAGCAGAGCAGCCTCCAGACTCTCCTGCTCACCGAAACAGCCACACCGTGAGTGAGCTAGGATGGGGGGGGCTTTCAGATGGGGGGGGGTTTCCTCAGGGTGGGTTTCCGTCTGTGGAGCAGTTCAGCTCTAGAAATCTACTTTTTGGCTCTCCTGAAGTGGGGGGAGCGGTTCAGATCCTCTTGCCTCTTGTGCCGGTACACGTCCCTAGGTGGGATCCCCCCCCTCTAGCAGCAGATGACCCAGTGGGACGGGCAGTCCAATGGGGGGGGGAGTCGGGGGGGCTCAGAGCGGGTGAGCGTCTCTGGATCAGTTAATGCAGAAAACAAACAGCTTCATTATCGAATCTGCCTCATTCATTTTTTTGGCTAATAAGAATTTATTTATGGCTTGTTCCATTTCCATAGCCACCCTTCTTACGTGGTGTGTGTGTGTGTGTGGGGTTTTCTCCAGTGTGGGGAGGGGCCACAAAGCTTCTGCCTGGCCTGTGCTCTCCCCAGGAGCTTGCAAGAGCACGGAGAGAAAGGACATGTTTTGGCACAGGAGAGGGAGGTTATTCTGGAAGCACAGCCTAATTTTCCCCATCTTTCCGAAGGGGATTGCTGGGAAAAACTCCGGCACTTAGCCCGTGACTCCCTGGCCTGCTGCCCCTGCCCTCTTCGGGGGTGGAGGGTGGCTCAGCTGGCAGGAAGGGGCGGGGCCTCAGAAGGCCCTCCCAAAGGACGGCCTTGCCTGGGCTTTCCTTGTGGGGCAGGCTCTGCATCTGTGGGCCCAGGAAGCTCTTCTGCTGCTGGAGGGAAAGCCAGGCGAGGTGGGCCCTCAGTGGCCCCTGTGGCTGGCAAGGGGGGTTGGAGGCCCAGGGCAGCCATTGGCCTCCCCTTAGAGGGTGCTCCATGGGGGGATGGGGTGGAGAATGCGCAGAGGAGATGGAGGGAATCAGTGGGGGAGGGGTCTTCCCAGGGCAACCCAAAGGGCATCTATCGGGAAGGGTCTTAATGCACAAATGAGGCAAAGCCTTTCAGAAATTGCTTTGGGAGAGCCTCTTCCCGTTTCGGTCTTTGTGCAAAGACGCTTCCAGTTAGGGCAGAAATCGGATTCAAACATTTGAGCAAAAACACTGCTAGCAACGCCAATTAGCCTGTTAAGTTTGAAACCGACAGAACTGAAGTATGAGGAAACTGGCAATTGGGAACAGTTTTAGGAAATGGTGCGTGGGAAGTTAGCCAAAAAAGAGGGTTTTAGAAGGAAAATGTTACCATGAAGCGTATTTCGATAATGAAGCAGTTTGTTTTCTTTGGCAACGCTTGCCAAATAAATAGTATTTAGCATTCAGCGCAAAAAGACTTTCAAACGCTGCTATTAAAAGATTATCAAAAAAACCTTCAGTTACGGATGGGCTGCCTAGCGACAGGATCCGGGGCAGGAGAACCGGCCCTGGTTGGGTCACTTCCCTCCCTCCAGGGGGCTGGCAGGAAGGGTCCCACCCACCACGACCCTCCCTCCCTCCGGCTGCAGAGCCAGGAAAGAAATTCCATCCTTGCACTGCGGCCCCTTCTGAGGAAATCAGGGGCTCTGGCTGCTGAGTGGGGGGAGCATGGGGGGGTCTTTAGGACAGGGGTCCCCCAGACACCGCTCTCTTTGATCCAGGTGTTTGGGCAGTGTGTGTGTGTGTGTGTTGTGTACATGTGTTGAGAACTGTACTGCGGCTGTGAAGACCTGAATGAAAGCAAATAAGCCTTGATGTTAATTAGGCTCCCAAAATAAATAACCAACAGAAGAATAATTAGGCTCATTGCTGTAAAAATAAGGATTCTTCAGAGACTCTTGTTGTTGGAAGGGAACCTGCCCACTCCTTTTTTTTTCAGCCCCTGCCACTTGGTGATGCCCACCTGGGCATCGGCTGCTTTTTGTAAAGAAAAGGGTGTTTCTCAGAGGATTCTTCAGGCACTAAAGGAAACGTCTTTTGAAGTTAAATGTATGCAAATCGAGCAGCTTGCATCGATCCGGGCTCATTGTGTACTCCAATTACTCTCCATGGTGACAAAAGTAAAAAATGGGTTGAATTTATGGGCTGAAAAAGTCATTCTCGGTTGCAGAAAAGCAGAATTTTAAAAAAATTCTCTCTATTCTCACAAGGGAAACCACAAAGCACACACAAAGGAGGCCAAATACGCCACCATAAATTTCTTTCTTCTCTCCTTTGGAGCCATGAAGAGCTCCTAAACCCCTGGGCAGCTAACCCAACCACACCCCTAAACCCCCCCCCCGCACTTTATAAATAGCCAGATAAAATGGGAGAATTTCTGCTTGTGCTGTGCAAATTCCATATAAAACCTCGGCTACAGGATTGTTTTGATGTAAATGCCCAATGGTGGTTGCTGGGCTTTCAACGAGAATGCCTGCGCAGTGCCAGCATATCGGGAAGAAAAGAAGGGAGGGAGGGAGGGAGGAAGGAAGGAAGGAAGGAGATGGTGGTCGAGGAAAACTGGTGCTTGATCCGGCTCTAACTGAGCCACAAAGCAAAAAGGGTTTTGGGGGGAGGGGGGTGGCAGAGGCTGGTGGGCCAGGGGACAGGTGGGTCATTCGCACAAGCCTTGGGAGCCCCTGATGTGCTCTGGAGGCTCCAAGCATGGCCTTCTGGCCATCCCCCCCTCCCCTCCTTCTCCACCCATTCTTCCCTTGGTTCCTGAGAGGCAGGAGCAGCAAAGACCAAACGCTCCGAGACGGCCATTGTCTCCCTCTGTTTCCCCTCTTTTAACCAGTGGCCTGGGATACAGCTTGCTGGCTTCTGCCTCCCTGAGCCTGGAGAACGCCCAGGAAGGCTTCCACGCCCACAGCCTTTCGCTCCTGGGAAACGGTAAGTTACGCTGAGCGTGCCGAAGCCCTCCAAAGGTTCAGAAAAGCTTTGCTTTTTGCGCTGCGCCTTCCGTCACCCAGCACGTCCAGGTGGGATTGTGTTCCTCTTTGAGTTCAGGACCCTTTTCTCCCTGAGCCTCTGTTGGGAGGGAGAGGAGAAGTCAAGGAGAAGGCCAGCCTCCCTTCAGAGGTTTCCTCTTGCTGTGTTCCCTGGAGGCCTCCGTCTGATGGGAAGGCCTGCTCCCCTGCTGGGCTCTGGGAGGGGGGATCCCAGTCTAAAGATCCCACCGTGGAAGGAATTCATCATAAATCAGGACGTGACTGCTTGCTCTGCTCCTGTCCAACTGTTGTTCGGTGTGAATTTGGCCAAGGAGTGTGGCATCTAACACGGAACCCCGGTTTCTCCTGGGTTGTCTTTCAGAGGACTCTCCTTCTTGGCTTCCGCTGTATGGCACCATGTGCTGCCGCCTGGTTGCTCAGCCAGACTGCATGACCCAGGATGCCACGGCCGGATTTCTCAATGAGCAGGCAAGAATGCCCGATGGGCCTCCTCCAGACAGCGGCCTCTTCACACGCCTCTTCAAACTTGAGGATGATTGGCAGTTCTTTTGCCACCTTCAGCTGTATTCTGCAGGGGGGGCGGTCATTTCCCTCCCAGGGCACTGATAACCCCGGCTGCCCCTTGGATGCCAAGAGCAGGGTGGAAGCTCCCCCCCCCAGCTGGACACTGAGAGGCAGATCCAAGCCCCTCTTGAGGCAGATCCAAGCCCCTCTTGAGGGAGAGAGAGGGGGGGGGGGTCCTCTTCCCACTGGCAATACCCAGGCCCCAGGTCCTGCCAGTTCCCCTTTTAAGGGTCTGGTGGCTCCCGAAGGAGAGGCTTTCCTCAACCTTGCCTCCTTTGATAACACCTGGACTTGATTGCTTCCGGTGGCATTCTGAAGGGGCCGTTCCAGCAAATGCCCTGGAGGCCGTGACTCTCCTGCAGGGCACGTGGCCGTGGCACCCGCTCCTTTAAGGGAAAGGTTTTGTCTGGGTTATACTGGGTCATCTGTGGATAAGGGGGTGCTGGGGGTCTGGGCACCCTGTGAATTTGGGCGGAGGGGCTGGATGAAGCGCACGGGAGAGAGAAGACGAGCCTCTGCCGTTCAGATGCCCAGCAGCCTTCTGAGTGGGGCTCTGGGGGGTGTGTGTGCCAAAGGCCACCGGCTGTCCGGTCCTTGAGACTCGCCTTCGCCCTTAACAAACCATCGTCCTCAGAGTCTCAGAGGCCATTTGTTGAGAATGTCCATTTCCCGATAAGGGCTCGTTCTTCGCCCGAGAGCAAAGTGACCTTTGGGGCGATCTGTGACTGACGACATTTCTTACAGCCATCGGGGGGTGTCCCGGGGGAGACCTGGAGGCGGCGATACTGCGTGCTGAGAGGGGGCCGGCTCCTCTGCTTCTCTGCCCCTGAAGAAAGAGAGGCCGTCGCGGAGCCGGCCTTGTCCGTTCCCATCAACCGGGTAAAGCCGAGCGTCACTTAACCATTTCAAGATCCAACGGTTGGGGGTCTCCTTGCACTTTATCCATCTTACAATAGTTAAATGTCTGTATGTATGAAGGGCGGGAATTCCCCCGGTGGGAAATGTGGACTTAAAAGCAGGGAGCAGGGAAAGTGCCCTCCCCCCCTTTTCACAAGGGACTGGGGCTGGGTGCACCTGCGCCCAAAGAGGTGCCCCAGAATTGGGCGTGTGGGTGAAACTTATTTTCCCAGCTCAGAGAATTTTGTAGAAGAGTGCATTCCCATCCCCGTCCCCCTCCCTCCCTCCCCAATGTCTGGCTCTGGAGGTGACCAACCGACAGTGGAGAGTTGGGGAGGGGCGTTTCCTTGGCTCCCTCGTCGCTTCGCTGCATGCTTAATTCTGCGTCCTGCTGCAGAAGCTGCAGGCGCTTTTAAATAAGGCCCTTCCTGTGCAGTTCCTTGGATGCTTCCCCTCTGCTGCGTGATGCAGCGTCAGAAGGACGGGCCTGTTACTGCCGAGGCTGCATCTTCCATCCCTTGAACAATCAAATGGGAGAGCAAAGTGGCTTTTGTCAGAGAAGGGCTTTTTGTTCCCTAAAAAAGGCCCCTGTGGCACAAGGCAGGGCGCAGAGGCCACGTGAACTCCTGTCACTGGGAGGGAGGGAGGGGGAGGTGCTGCAGTTCTAACCTGTTGACTTATGAAACTCCTTGACTTGATTTAGTACTGGTATCTATGGTTACCTGCATTAATAGGACGCAGCATTTATGGATGCATTACTTCATTTTCTATTTTTAGAATGAAAGACTTAAATGAGCAAATTCATCAGATAAGCTGCAAACAGCCGCCTAAATTTCAAACAACTCCTCCAGTAAAGTCTCTTTAAAACTCTGTGAAAATATTCTGCAGGTTTTGAGGGGTGGTCAATCCTCGGGGCACTTCTTTTTTTTCCCACCAGGACAATTGATATTAAAACAAAGCTGCACATTTAATGGCTGCTGGGGAGGATGGACACGCAGGAGAAGGGTGGAAAGTGTGGGGCGGTGGTGTTTGCGTGTTTCACCTGGAACCAGGTGAAAGGAGACCAGAAAATGTTCATGGCAACCTTACGGTTCTGTGTAACATTCAGGGAACTCAAATTCGTCCCGTGGACAAAGAGGCGGGGGGGAAGGCCAACCTTTTCTCCGTGATCAACCCTGAGCCTGGCGAGGCCGCGGCTCGGGTGTTCCAAGCAGAGAGCCGGCAGGACCTTCGCAAGTGGATGGAAGCCTTCCGGCAGCACTTTTTTGATTTCAGTAAGTGGCCCGTCTTCCTTTTCCCTTGTTGGAGGAAAGCGCAGACACCCCGGCTGCCCTTGCACAACAGCCCCAACTTTTGCAAAAGGCCCATTTCCCTCCCCCACCCCCACCCCCACCCCCGTTGCAACCCCAGCGGAATCTCTCAGAACTGGCGCAATCTGACTTTGCGTTGCTGCCCATGCAGGCCCTCTCAGAGGGAGGGCCCCAAAGTCCAAGTAGCACAAGCAACACCCCTCAAGGCTTCTATACCGCTTCACGGTGCTTTTCAGCCCCTCTCTGAGCGGTTTACAGAGTCAGCCTCTTGCCCCCCCCCCGACCATCTGGGTCCTCGTTTTGCTGACCTCGGAAGGAAGGACGGAAGGCCGAGTCCACCTTGAGCCGGTCAGGATCGAACTGCTGGCAGTGAGCAGAGTCAGCCGGCAACGCTGCACTCTAACCGCCATCCCACCAGAGACCATTGAAAATTGTTTTTAATGGTCTCTGGAGGGATCAGGGCTTCTCCCGGGCCTTCCCAATAAATGGGTTATGTCAGACCGATGCAGTGAAGCGTAAAGTTGTGATGATAAAGATTGGGATTGGGCCACGCACTGCAATTGCCCCTATCCTGTCTGGGAAATACGAAATACCGGTTAGCTCGGCTGTGGTTGATTCAGAGGCTTTATGGCTACCTAAGAGATGATCACAGCCGCCCTGAGTCCGCGAGGAGAAGGGCGGGATATAAATCCAAATATAAATAAATAAATAAATAAGGGAGCAATTATTTAAAAAGCGACACACGTTTTTATGGGGAAAATGCCTCTGAAACTGATTGTGTTGGCTGCATTTGATGCTAGCATTTAAAAATGGAGAACCTGAACACGGCCCATTTCCTGATGTCCATCCAGGTCAGTGGAAGCACTGCTGTGAGGAGTTCATGAGGATGGAGACGGGGTCCCCTCAGAAGCCACCCCTGTTCTTGGCGAAAGAAGCCACTTCGGTTTACCAAGAGCTGAGTAAGTCAGAGCCAGCGAGCGACCGCAGGGCCTCCGGAGCAAGGCCGGCTCAGCCTCCCCCCCCCCCGTCCAGCTGGGCTCTGCAGGACAAGCAGGTGGACCTCTTTCCCTTTGGGGCGCTCTGGGGAGACTAAAGAGATATTTGGGGCTGGCTGATCCCCCATTTTGGACAAGCCGGGTGCTTTTATTTTTTCTGGATGTCTGATTTTTCTTTAATTGCTGCCTGTGGTCAACACATGATTCAGAACTGACAGGCCATCATGTTTTAGGATTGAAAGGGGCTTGGAGATCATCTAGTCCAGGGGTCCTCAACCCCCGGTCTCTGGACCGGTCCCGGGCCGTGGCATGCCAGCAACCGGTCTGCACCAAACAAGCAAAGCCCCATCCGTGGGATGCAGGCAGCACACAAAACCACGCACTCTCCGGTCCGTGGAAAAACCTCTGTCCACGGAACCGGTCCCTGGTGCCCAAAAGGTTGGGGATCTCTGCTCTAGTCTACCCCAATAGTGCATTATTTCCAGGAGAAGCCAAGAACCAGAATGCATATATAGCAATATATTGTCAAGTACTTCTGCGAATGTCCCTCTTCAAACTCAGCTGTCTAGAATTATTTTTGCAGATATTTCTTTCAGATTAATAAGAATTCAGAAGAGCGATGGTTCTGGCACAGGAATGTTGCCTGGCATCTCAGTTCAGCTATTTTTTTTCTCAAGTAGTTTCTGCTGCTCCTGGGCCATTTTGTAAGCTTTCCTTGGCAAAGAAAGGAAGGGTCATCCCTGGGGGATGAAGGTCTCATCCGTGGGGCCGGTGCTGCGGCCCAGCTCCACTTTGGTGACCCTTTTGTGTTGTCTTTAATGTGACAGGCATTGATTCACCGGTGAAGCCTGACCCTGTAGCTGCCACGGCTCAGGGTGGGGAGGAGAAAAGCAGGCTGGCCTCGCTCGATGGCCCGGGTGAGGCGGACGTGTCCCGTGGTTCTTCTCTGAAGCGGAGTGGGAGCAGCCCCCAAGGAAGCCCGGACTCTGAGGGGATAAGCGAAGGAAGGGAGCCCCCTTCCAGGCCCTGATCTGGCTCCCTGCAGCACTGCGCCCAGAGGGAGGCCTCCAAACCGCAGCCTCCTGCACGCTGCACGGCTCCCGCGGGCCCCCACACCGCCTCCTGCCCCTCCTCGCTCTCGCAGGCCCCCCTGGGCAGCCCCGATCTGCCAGCCTAGGGGGTGTCCGGCTGATGTTCAGTTATGTTTTCATCTGGGGTGGGGGGAAACTTCCTTTGTCCCCTGAAAACTGAAGAGTCAACTTCCACACGGTATTTGTTGTTTCTGTCGTGGTCTCTCTCTCTCTCCTTCTCTCTCTCTCTCTCTCTTTTTTTTTTTTTTTTTAGTGAAGATACAAATTGGTCACATTCTTCAGCCCGGGGAATACCCCAAGAGCTCAAGTGGTTCTCTAATGTCCCTCTGAATAATTTCCACAGTCAGTAGTAGAAAATTGGACAGGTTTATATTAGGAAAAGTGGATGCTGCATTGTAAACAGAATCAAAACAGATACTTTATATTTAAATAGCATCAGAGCTTTTATTCTGCTGACTGGAACTGGTACAACGTAAAGGTACGTCTCTCAAATATTTTTTTTTTGAGGTCCCTGTTTCCCCCAAGTTTGACTTTATCAAAGAAAGAGTCCTATGTTGGTTACAGATGGCACATCTGTAGGGCAAAGGAAAACAAGGACTTTAGCTGTTGGCACAGTAGTTCATGGCTGTTCATCAAGTTGTGTTTTCTGTATGTATTTTTTTTTTTTTTGGGTAGTGTGTGAGATGCATTATGTACCGTGGAGGTTTGCGTTTATCTGTTTTTCAAGCAGTTTTTTAAAAAAAGAATAAAGGACATGTAGCAAAGTGATAAAGGAAGTGTCCTCTTAGAGTAACGCTGTCTGGTCCCATAATGAGATAGCAGAATCCCTTTTAAACTTCAAAGCCCTCCGTTAACAATCTGTTATTGTATTCAACTCATAGAAAGTCCACAATGGCGTCTAATCTCCCATAAACCACCACCATCATTCTCTCTGGTCCGTCTAAAACTTCCCCAACAATTGCATCTCATTCCCCAAATCATGTCACGCTGCCATGACTTTTGGTCATAATTCTGGGCCCAGTTAAAATCTCCCCTGTCTTCCTTATTTTCATAAATAACTCAAGGCAGTGAACATACCTAGTCCTTCTCCAATTTTCCTCATAACAACCACCCTGTGAGGTGGGTTGGGCTGAGAAAGAGTCACTGACCCAAAGTTATCCAGCCGGCTTTCATACCTCAGGTGGGACTAGAACTCACCGTCTCTGGCACTCTGGTGCTTTCACCACTAGACCAAACTGCCTCTGTTAGTTGTTAATGTTTGATAAGTCAGCCAGCCTCCACCCAAGGTAGTTTACTCTCCAAAGGAATGCCTACCATAGTAGGAAAGGCAGAGCGTGTAAGACCACTAAAGACACCACGCATGAAGATTCCAGCCTGCTCCCTTTGGGAGGCGTCCGTGGCCTTTGAGTGGCAGGTTTAAAGTTACCAGTTTCTGCCTCAACCTCCACGTCAGGGGTGGGCAACTAGGGTCCCTTTATGACATGTGGACTTCAGCTCCCAGCCGTAGCTGCCCACCCCTGCTCTAGGTGCTAAGTGTATACTTTGGCCCAGTGACCTGTTAATTGTGAGGCTTTGCTACCATACAATTCCCCAGTTCTTTACAAAGCAGTTTGAAGCCCAGCTGTTCCGATTCTTCCAGCCCTGAAACATTGAGAATAGACATCAGGTACCAACAATCAGTGCAACAATATGAGCAAAAGAATAAAATATTGTCCTGGAGCAATAAAAATCTCATAATTGTCTTCCTACCACCTCAGCTATCCATTTTTTCAGTTCATGTCATATGCCCTTGGGCGTTTTCCAAAAATATTTCAGTGGTTGTTATGGGGTGTGTGGGCTGCAAAGTCACCGTTATTCCATTGCCCTTAAGTTTGCACTGGATGCTTTCATAGGTTTCTACACAAATGCTTTTGCCCACAAAAATTGCATGGATCCAGTGCCTCAGACTGCAACTGAGAGCGTTGCAAATCCTCAGTCCTGATTTTTGTTATTGCAGAAGAGCAGCCTTGGAGATCTGTTCTTCCACACTAGGACTAGACTAGACTTCTGGGGTTTCTTTGTGCAATTCCTCAAAGATCAGCAATATTCCTGGCTGAAGCCTGACGGCTGCTGTAGGAAGCAGTTTGTGGATGTCTTGAAGGCATTTCGCACTAGGACGATGTAGTTACAGCCAAGAGCCACTAGGGGTCCTGTGCTTCTCCGCTAGGAATCCCACCAGTTCCCAAGTTGCAAAACCGAAGAATTCGGCTTCAGTTCAGCTGAATTCAAGTCCTTCGCCCAAGGAAATTGTGCAAAGTCCGAAAGGAGACAGAAATCAGAATTCTACAGCACTTTTTCCTGAGAGAAGGAGATGAAGGGAACAGAGTGCATTAACTGCATTTAATCTATCCCTTGATTTCAGTTAAGGTTTCCTCCAGTATGCTTGGCATCAGAACTGAAATTATAATTGCTTTGTATTCTTAGTTAACATATTTAATTAAAGGGATTTAAATTATAACAGAAAGGTGATCCCATCATTGTGGCTTCTAAATATGCTGGGCCCGCAATTGCAAGAATCGGAAGAAGAGCACCAGGTTGAGAAGGCTGATTTGCATGGAAAGAGCTATATAATAATAATAATAATAATAATAATAATAATAATAATAATAATAATAATAATAATAATAATAATAACAACAACGTTGGAAGGGACCTTGGAGGTCATCTAGTCCAACCCCCTGCTCAGGCAGGAAACCCTACACCATTTCGGACAAATGGCTGTCCAGTCTCTTCTTAAAAACTTCCAGTGTTGGAGCATTCACCGCTTCTGGAGGCAGGTTGTTCCACTGGTTAATTGTTCTAACTGTCAGGAAGTTTCTCCTTTGTTCTAGGTTGCTTCTCTCCTTGATTAGTTTACAGAGTATCTTTGAGAATATATTACAGAGTATCTTTGAAAATCAGATCTGGCAACTTGACATGGCCGGAATAGCTACCTTATTTCCCTATCCACTGAACTATCTATCTATCTAGCTAACTTTTTTCCTATCCTGAAAAAAAGACATTATTTTCAGTTGAGGAGCGCATTGGGTAGTTCTTAGGCTGTTGAATTACAAAGGGACAGTCAGTACCTGGTTGATAAATGATTTTGCAATAAAAATGAACCACTATGCGATTCAAAATGTGTGTGTAGCAGACTATGGATGGGACTCTGGTTTAGATTCAGATTCCCCTTGGCCAATATGAGAGGAAAAGGCCCAGCAATTAATTTATATTCAGACTCGCCTATCTTAGCTTGCCAGGAGAATGAACTCGGATAATAAAGTTCATTAACATCGCCCTGAGCCTGTTGGAGGAAGGAGAGGGCATTTGAATGAAATTAGTGTCAAGATTAATCAGAAACAAATTGTTCTCAGTCTGGAGTCTTGCAGTAGATGGGACCATGTTGCAAATTTATCAAGTGATTAAACTTTGCATAACTGAGGGCAGCTACAGGCCATTTAAATTTATGCATGGGAAAATCTTCGCAAGTACTGCAGTCTTCCAAATAAATGAATTAACCCTTGAAAAAGGAAGAAAGTATTTGGTGCTTCTAGCTTCTCCCTCCCCAGCGCAACAGTTTCGGATATTAGCTCGGCTCTAATTCAGTTGCTTTTGCGGTTCAATTCCCGTTCTGTGCACCGGCTTCTCTCTGCTGCTCCTACAAGCCTTTTCCCCTCCTGGGCCCTGGAGAAATCGGCCTTTGCCTGGAGACTCCAGGCAAGCCGGAAAGGCCAGGTCTCATGAGCCTGCCAAAGGGAGGAGAAACAGGGAAGGGAAAATGAGAGGCAGACTCCTCATTAACTATGAATGAATCTTACTGGAAACGGCTCATGTGATCACAGTCGCGGGTTTTGCTGCAGCTGGGTTCTTCCCAGGACACTTTCACATCTGCCGCACCACTGCAACTAAATTCCAAGAAAACATCATTTCTGTATTACAGAATATCAATTTTTTTTCCTAAAAAAACCCCCCACCTGGGATGAAGTTCCAACTTTCAGTAAGTGTTCTGACCCCGTCTGCTTCCTAGAAAGTCCCTTAATTCATGTCACGCCGTTCATTCTAGGATCCGTCGGTGAGTCAAAGAAATTCTTGACGTAGAATTTAATCATCGTAGCTTAAGTGCCGTCCGTCCCCGACTTAACCCAGGCTCTCTCTGTGTTTTCCTGTAAACACTTTGAGTGAGGTCCGAAAGGAATCCGGCATCCAGGGGAAAAGGCAGGCCTGGCTCCAGCGAGGGCCCTCAGAAGAAGCTGAACTACAACACCCATCATCTGCAGCCTGCATGATGGGCGCCTGGGGGAGATGCCTGCTTGGGAAAGGCCGGTGCCTGTGGGCCTGGTCTGGAGGTCTCTCTCACAGGTGCTGCCCTGCTTTAGAAAGGCTGGACAGTCTGCCAAGGCAGAAGGGAAACAGGCTGCCGAAACAGGCCTGAACAATTCTGGCAGGGCCCAGTGACCAGGGAGAAGAAATTGAGGTAGGAATAAAAGTGGTCTGAGCAGGAGGAAGAAAGGGAGATCCTGCCCTCACAGCAGCCAAGATCAGGGATGTCATGGGAATAAAAAGCGGATCAAGAGGGCCACGTCTGAAAGTGGGGTGAAAATGGATGGAAGGCACTTTTGCTCCTCTTTCTTCTCCAAGTCACCTCCCCACTTGCCTGTAACCGCAGCACAGTCTTTCCTTCTCTCCAATGACATTGGCTTTGTCCTACGAATGGGACAGTCCTAAGGGCCCCTTAGCTACACAAAGAAGGGCTTTCTCCTTCAATCCAGCTCTGTCTGAGGTGTGTAAAATTTGTTACTCCCTGTATAAGGTTGGGGGGAAGTCAGGTGACTGCAGTTATTGGGAATGGGTGCAATAAGGATAAAGACTGATATTGAGAACAGCAAATTTCATGCGTTGTAATTTTTTGCTGACTCCAGGATGGCTGGATAATATAGCAGTGAGGAAGGGCTATTGTTAAACTCTTAAAATGTAGCATCTGTCTTTCACAAAAGAGCCAGAACTTACTACTGGTCCTTGAAAGGTAACACATTGGTATAAAACAGGGTTGTGTGCTAGTCCTGTTCCATCTGTTCTTTGCTTGCGTGTTCTCACATGCTGTCCAGGCTCTGGGCGTGGGCATCAGGTCCCGCTTGGAGGGCTCTCTCTGACCTTTGGCACTTGAACACACAAGGCGCCTCCACACAGCCGCTCGAGAAACCCTCTTTGCGCTCCTGGCACAAGACTGAACGCCAATGCCAAGCTTGCAGAGCCAAAAATAACTGTTAACAACACCCAGCTGACAAATGTAAGCAGCTTCCAATACTTGGGAAGCATGTCTTTAGCGATGGGTCTCTGGACAAAGAAATTGACCCCGAGTTCAGTAAGGCCAGCTGTTGGAATATAGCATAAGTCACTCCATCTTGTAACCTTCAGCAAGCTTAATCCTATACTAATTGTGCCTACGTGTTAGGTTGCAATCTGCAACTGCATACGCGTAAGGTAGTGAAGGACAGAGAACAAAGGGACATGTCAAGAAAGCTGTTTATGCAAGTTGTAATATTGTCACTTCCTGATAAGACCTTCCAATATGAACAACAATGGCAACTTTTACTGTGAACCGTTAGTCGCTTATGCCATGTATTAGATAAGATACATTTTGTAAAACTTTGGCTGTCTCTAACCTCCAAACTCCCACTGTATTGTAACCCTCGTCTCACCCCCCCCCGCAAAAGCCTTCTGCCTGAAATTTGCTTTGTTATGATTGCTAATAAAAGAGGTCCCCAGAGACTGTTCTGGGCTTGATCTCATCCCGAGGAAACCTGGTATGGTGTCTTCATATCACAACTCATGAATCGGCCCCCGGGCGAGGTCTGAAACCAAGCCTGGAGACACAGGTCCCGGTTTCCCACAGCCAGCCAGACGCTGAGTGGGGCAGTTGAGTACTAGAGGGTTCAATCAATACAACATCTATAGCTTCACAAAGCTAAAAGCCTACAGAGCTATGGTCATCCCTCCTAATCTGGATGTGAGTTCTGTACTCCGAACTGAAAGCGCATCAGACAGTTGGAGAAGTGTCACATGTGTGATCTCCACTCCATCCTTTGGCCAGATCATGTCTCCAACCTGGACATCTTGGATGATGTAGAGTCCACCAGCATTAATCCCTGATTATCTGAGCCTGGATGAGATGCTGGGATCCCTCATTGGAGTGGATGGTCTCCATGTGCCTAAAGTAGAGTCACTAGGAGGGGAGACCCTGAGATCAACCACACAAACACCACAAAGGTGCTGTGAAAGGGACCCTGTGCCACCGTGACATCCATTTGAGAGATCTAGAAGTTGCATCTGCTGGCAAAACCCACTGGTGACCTCTGTGCTATGAAGCCTCCACTGGCTTTGAAGACAGGCACCACCCAAAACTGATGGAAAACCATGAGTGGCATCACACAACAACACCCACAACAATAGATTTCCGTTGCTTCCAGATTGGGACTGCAGAGACATCTCCGTGTCTACAGATGAAGGGCAGGTCTGCCAAAGGTCTACTATTTTTCCCTAGCGATCTTCTGAAAATGTTCAGCCTTTATTGCACATTTCAGGATGGTGATGGACCTTATTATTGGGTATTTATGCCATTATGGCCTCGACTATATTAGAACTGGACTCCAGAAATCTATCTCACCACAACAGAGGAGCAAAGAAATCTCTAACTCTTTTGTTCCACCTAGTGGTCATCTGGATTTTTGCTTTCAAAGACTGTTTCACAGTTTTATAAATTCCAAAAGGTTATACCCAAGTACTTATTAAAAAGATGACTTTCCACTTCTCTGAATTTTGTTAAACATATGGCTGAAAGCATTATTATTTCTAAAGATCTTCCATCCTCAGCCAATTAATTATTTTAAAAAGCTGATTTTCCATTCCTCTGAATTTTGTTACTCATATGACCAAAAGTCTCATTATTTCTGAGGATTTGCCTTC